GAAATTCTATTACATATTCCCTCCTTAAAATGCGAGGTTCTCCGAAATATTCTAATATTAAGATAAACTTTATTTATCAATTACTATAAATATACTATACTATTTTTAAACTTTATCAACAATATTCTAAAAGTTTCTATTAGCTAATTTTTTTAAAGTTTAACTTTAAACTTTATCAACAAATCATCACAGCAGATTTCTATTTTTAATTTGTAAACTTGTTGATAATTAACAATTATAGTAATTTATCACTTTAGATACTATCGTAGTAAATTTTGATTTGTGTAAAACTTTTTTGTTTGTTTGGAAAAAGATTTTTAATTTATGTTTGGAGTAGCATGACTCATTGTTGTGGCTTTTGCTTTGTAGTAACTGATTATCAATTGTTCAAAAATTTTCCTACTAAAAAAAATTTTTTTTTTTTTATTATAAAACTAATAGATCTATTATTTCGCTTCAACAATTTTCCCAAAACTACCTCCACTATTCCAAGGTTATAATTATTTATCCTTTTACTTTTTCTAACTTCTACTATTCATGATTATCATACTAGTTTATAGAGAAACTTTGCTTTTCTACTAGATCGCTTGAAGCAGTTATTTCAATAATTTGACTCCTTGAGTGCCCAGGTTAAAGCAAGAAAGAATCGTAGTTCAATACTCAGTATTGTACAGCTAGTCCTTTCTACTTTTTGTGCACGCTTCCCCTTTTGATTTTTCTATTATGAAATAATATTTATAAAATTTTTGTCGCTATTTTGTATTTAACCAAAATATTAACAAAATTTTCATCTATATGCATATATTTTAGCTAAAGAAATATCTCTTGAAAAGTACAGCTTCAACGTTATTCAGACCTCTAACTTCTCTTTCTCGATTTCCACTAATACTGTGATTACTCATCAAGATTTGCTTACACACATTGGTTCTCTTCAAGACACAGTAGCTGCAATTGCAAGTTCATTGAATCGTTTGGAGAAGAAAACTAAAGAATATTCTAGTAGTTCAAGTTGTAAAGGGTGTGCACTTTTTCGTACCAAGTT